GTCTGTAACTGTAGAACTACAAAGTGCACCTATATAGTAAGTGGAGCTGATAAAATGGACAATGAGCGTAGAAACAAGGAGGTGGTCATAATGTTATGCCTGATCAGTGTATACACACACACACTGAGGTGACTCAAGACATTGCATGCTTTTAAAGGGTGCCTTGACTGAAAAAAGGTTGAGAAACGCAGGTTTTGGAAGACTAGTCAGTGCTGTACTCTGATCACTGTAGATTATTTAAGCTAAAGCACACTTTTTTAAGATGCAGCATGGCAGTAAAGTGGATCGCATTTGAAGTAACCACACTTTTCCGATGACCCGTACCTTGCAGCAGGAAAAACATACTCGAAGCTTTGTAGCGCCGTGACTATGCACTCCTATTACTGTCATTTGTACCGCTGTTCAAGTATGTGTGAATGTGCATGATGTGCGCAGGAGCGCTCTGGGACGTGTGGTGTAGTAACAGCATGGATAACACTTCAGACCCAAAATGTGCTTCATTTCCAAAGAGAAATACATATGCATATCCACTGATACAGTCCCCAAACAGGCCACAGCCCAGATTGAGTTTGACTGCTTAGTAAAGAAGCTGAATTCATCTGCAGACTCTTGGCAGAGCAAGGCAGAGTGCAAAGAGCAGGTCCTGAAAGCATGTGTGTGTATGCGTGCCGTGTTATGGGGGGGGCACACACCTCCCCGGTGGAGACCTTAATGTAAAACATATGCTGCCATACTGACCTATTATTCAGCATCTGGAGAGAGAGAGAGGGACAGAGTGCAAGAGCAAGACAAAGAAAGAGGAAGGCGAAACGAGCAAAAACTACTGTCTGCTGCCCCAGACGGTCTGAGTGACTGATTGCTTCTCTTAACAAAAGCCAAACAGTAAAGCTATCTCAGCTTGGCCCCGACCTGCCTTTTAGGCTGAGTGAAAAAGCACAAAGTGCACCAACAACAGAACTTAATCAGGGCAAAAATTCATACTGAATGGCCGTGAATTCACTCAAGGTTGGGCGATATGGCAAAAATAGAACATCACCACAAACACCTGTGTTGTCCTAAACATCAGGAGATTGTGAGTTTGGTCCCTGTTTGATGCCACAGCCCATCTATAATACAACAAAATAACTATGCTCGCTCTCTCTGGGTGGGTAGGATGTCATCACCTCTCCCCCACCACTCAGCAAGGTGCTATTCAGTGCGGCTGTCTATTGGCTGACATAACAGAATTAGCGGTTAGTGTTCTCCTCCAAGCGTGTTGAGCTGTTCAGCAACACTGCATTAGCAGCAGTTAAAAAGAGGAAGCATGTGCTAACCTCAGTGCGTAATATAGGAGGACCTAGCTAGCGTGTGCAACTGGTCACATCTAAATTAGGTAAACACTGAGTAATAACATTTTTAAATAACATGACAATATTTTTTTTATGTAATGATATGTATTACAATACTACAGACAAAATGATCACCTAAACAAGAGCAGCAAATAAAAAATGCTGTGAGTCGTCTACAATGACTTTTGTTTAGTTCATCATTTCTAAAAATAAACTATTTAAGAGAGAACAGGAGGAAAAATCTAACAAATGATTACAAATGGTAAAAATATCTATGGTAAAAATATATTAATAAAATAAAATTACATCATAACAGGCTGCCATCCAATTAGCTACTTGTTACTAAGAAGTCTATGTACACAAGGTGGTTCTTCAAGGGTTCTTTATTACAGAAAGTGGTTCTACATAGCACCATGAACACTCAAAGAACCCTTTGCATGATTAAAGTGTTCTTTGGAGAATGTGCTGTAGATCGTTCTATATAGTCCCTTTTTGAAAAGGGTTCTATATAGCACCAAAAAGGGTTCATCTATTGTTACAATGTCAAGCTTGTAATAAAGAACCGTTTTGTTGTTATCTAGAACCCTTTTCAAAAAGGTTCTACATAGAATCATCTACAACACATTCTCCATCAAACTGAAGAACCCTTTCATGATGCAAAGAACACTTTAATCATGCAAAAATGGTCATTTTTTAATATAGAATCATTTTCTTTACTAAAGAACTCTTGAAGAACCACCTTTTTTAAGTGTGTAGTTACTGTACACTGGTTGCTGTTTACAGACTCTCTAGAATTGGTCTATGATATGCAGTTGTTAGCGTTCCACAGGTACTGTTGATCCCGTGATACACTCAAAAAAGCACATTGTTGTAATTTATCATGATAATGATAACATAGTCATATTAATTGTTTATTAAAACTGGTGGTCCTACACCAGACGCAGACTACACTTATCTGTCCTCTAATACAATTCCCACTGATCTCAGCTGAGAAACACACAGTGGAGTCTCTGATCTGTCCACTTTGCTGATGTCATGAAAAACAACTCCTAGTCTGCTTGCCAACAGACTCACTCAGGGTTTGTATAACCAAAGCAAACGACTGAATATGACTTGCTTTGTCGAACGTCTAGATGCGCTGTGTTTGGAAATACGTCCTCGGTTTGTCACAGACAGCTGGGCCTGCTCACGGGAACCGTCCCTGATGTGGGATGTGTATTTATATCAGACGTGGACATTAACCGTTACCTCAGAGTTAGGAAACCACTCCATTTCCTTTGGGTTGTCATGAATGAAATGAGGACTATCATCGAGGAAACACCAACGCAGAACTGTAGCCAAAACAATAACATCTCAAAGCTCGACACGGTTAAGTAAGTCTGGAAAGGGTGAGTGCCATTTTTACCCTGAAAAAAAACTAGCGTGGTATGTTTGCCTGGCCTGGAGGATGAATCATTTTTCTACTGAAATTGCAAAATAAAAAAAAAACGCAATTTTCAAACCACAAGAGCTGCGAATTTAGTTATAGCTTACGTTATCACTATCATTAACATCATAAAACAATGTAAATTTGACCTAACAACACATGTGGGGTCAGACCAATCAGAAGCAACCAAACACCCATGCGCTGTGACATCACAACCATGACTAACTGGCAGTCTGGTGCATTCAGCATTCAAGCCTTAAGCTAGAAAAAGTGATCTGGATGGTTCTTTTTGGCCAAAACATAGACCTGGACCTTAATTTACAGAAAGGAACTGCTATGGAAATCACAGTCGAAGTACAGGTCAGATGTTTTCTCCAAATCTTTCAGTTGTACTGAACTCTTTTCCAAACCTAGGGGGTGACGGAGGGTATTTACGTCAATAAATAGATGTTTAATTGACTTGAATGCATGACTGAAATCATCCATATCAAGTACAGGCGTCAAAACATAGCATCAGCAGCCCATTATGTAAAGAGGTTTGTTGTATGCACGCAGGCCCTCAAGGGAAAAACCAGTTCCACTGGCGGCATAGTTCTCGAAGCATCTGTTCATCTGCATGGACGAGACGGCTGGACTGGCTTAACGTGTTCTACGACAGAGCGCAAAGAGTCTACATATGACATACAGACAGGCCGCGATGGTAAAAGCAGAACAGAGTTAATGAAAGTATTAAGGCAATATAAAAAGGGACGAATGTTGAAAAGCACTCATAATGGGTTTTTGCTTGTTCTGAAAATGTCATAGGATTAATGGGACTACAATTATGTGTTCCAACCACCTGTTAAGTGCAGATAAAGCTGAAGATAAGCTACGAAGCTGACATTTCTCATTTGGCTTATTCATAAAAGAGCGAAGCCGCTGTGAAATGAAAGCAAATGTCATTATGCAAACAAATCAAGTCCTGAGTTCTTTCCACAGAAATCCAAAACACGTCCTCAACCTACACAAATCATCTGCAACTAGAGATACAGAGTGAAACAGAAACAGGAGGCAAGCTTTATCATTTATAACCTGGTCAAGGTATTTAGGTAGACGGTGCTCCTGTGAGTGCCATTATCTGTTTACCTTTTACTTATAACTACATAGAGGTCAATCATCCGGCCCAATAGAGTCTGTTCTAGGTATTGTTGGCCTATAGAAGGCACAGAGAAGCAAGTGAAGGCATAAAACAAAACCTGACACCCGGCTGAGGGCGTTCACTCAAGTGGCCTGAGTGCAAAATTCACTAAGAGTCCACACAGGCCTATGAGCTCAGGTTTCTAGAGCACAACAAAGGTTAACTTAGATCCTGAAACCACTGTAAAAGTAAAGAGAAGGTACATATAGGTGTAAGGTCTTCTCTTCGTGCCATAAAGGGGAATTCTACAGATTTTTAAAAAATTTTGCATAATTAAGTCACTAAGATGCCATTCAGAGTGCTCTAAAAGCCCCCACACAGAAATTTATTACATGAAATGACTGAGAATACGCTGCCTGATGCCTATGACGTTGTTTTACGACATTTCTGAGGTAAGTGTTTGGCCTGAAATGTATCTTTTAAAAGCCATTCATGGTGGAGGAGGATATTCTTGGGCACTATAAGGCAAAATAGTCCCCAGTATATTACATTTTTTTCATATTTACTACTACTTCAGCATCAACAACATAAACATAGGCCTAAAAACTTAAAAGACACATGTAGGTTCACTGGTGGTTTCGGATAGCAAATAAAAAGGGCTATTTGTGTTGTGGACATTGTGACCCCTGGTTCCCATCACCACCACTGTAAAGAAAACTGAGTTGGTAAGTTTCTCTAGCAATGAAGCATTTCACATCAAAACACTCTGAATGACTTTGTTCACATCTCAACCGCTGAATTATGCAGATATTTTGAAAAATCGGTGGAATTCCCCTTTAACTGCACAACGTGGTGATGTTGTTATTGTCTAACAGTAAAATTACTGTTATTCATATTCCAGTCCATTACTCGCTGAGAGAGGAGGTGCATAGTGAACACTAGCCGGTACACAGAAGCCTCAAACTAAGTTACAAGAGCTCTCTGAGGCTTCTTATTACACATACAGACGTTTGTTATTTCTTTTTCCAGCCTGTTTCCTTCAAAACAGTCGACACGAAGGGAAATATGCTCATATGCAAATGTAAACAAGGTCAGACAGACAGTCAAAGGTACCGTAGCGTTAACTCACCATACTGAGCTGCTGTTGTTGTCAGACAGACACGGCTCCCTTTATAACAGTCCGTTTTGTCTCGACTTCGCCAAGTAAGATATCCTCGCTCTGAAATCACCCTCGTCGGTATTTTTTGAGGAGATGGGACGCAGAAATCGCTGTCCTTTGTGTGAAGGAAAGCTGAAAAAGACGGTTAAAGTTCTCTCCTCAGTACCTGCCTCCTCCCCGCTCCATGCTACTGTGAGCTTAGCAACGGCAACGCACACAGCGCAGCGGGACCGCTCGGCTTCTTTCCCACCCGTTTTCAGACAAGCCCCGCCCTCCTGCGCTGGGATTGGCTGGGACCAGGCTCACAAGTAGAGCCGGCGTTCGAGAGCGCCACGCCCTCCGGTGATCGCTGAATTAAAATATACGTATAAAAAATGGACAATGTAAAAATATAATTGTTTAAAATATATATAATATTAAAAGTGAAAACTACATTGATGTATATGGAGTTTTGTTCGGACAAAATTATTTAAATAAATATAAATACATTTATTAAATACATGGCCTAACGTGACCATAGTGAAAACAAATAAGTGAATGTGAAATATATCTTTGAAAAATTTTAGATTTTATTTATCTATTTATAATTGTTTGTTTGTTTATGACACTCCTGATCTCGGTTATCCCTCTCATGTATATATATATATATATATATATATATATATATATATATATATATATATATACATACATATATATTGTAGTATTGTCTTTGTAGTTCTACAATTACAGACTGTAGTCCATTTGTTTCTCTGCATACTTTGTTAGCCCCCTTTTACCCTGTTCTTCAGTGGTCAGGACCCCCATGGACCCTCAGAGAGCAGGGACTATTTGGGTGGTGTGTTAGTATGTGTTGTGCTGGTACGAGTGGATCAAACACAGCAGTGCTGCTGGCGTTTTTTACACACTGTGTCCACTCACTGTCCACTCTATTAGACACTCCTACCTTGTCAGTCCACCTTGTAGATGTAAAGTCAGAGACGATAGCTCATCTGCTGCTGCACAGTTTGTGTTGGTCATCCTCTAGTCCTTCATCAGTGGTCACAGGACGCTGCCCACAGGACGCTGTTAAAAACTCCAGCAGCACTGCTGTGTCTGATCCACTCGTACCAGCACAACACACACTAACACACCACCATCACATCAGTGTTACTGCAGTGCTGAGAAGGATCCACCACCCAAATAGTACCTGCTCTGTGAGGGTCCATAGGGGGTCCTGACCACTCTGCAGTGAGCGCTATTCAATACCTCTGCGATGAGTTGCGTTTGTGATCCAGACCATTACACAACATCCGTACCTTGGGGGTATTCCACAAAGCTGGATTCCTCAGTTAGCCAGATAACTTAAGCCTAAAGATTAGGATTATCCAGTAAGAATGTCCCTCAGTTCTTTTTCTATTGGACAAGCTTGACTTTGGACTTTTCCTATTGGACAAGCTTGACTTTGGACTCAAGTTATCTGGCTAAACTGAGACATCCTGCTTTGCGAAATACTCCCCTGACCCTCATTAATGCCCTTGTGGCTGAATGCAATCAAATCCTCACAGCAATGTTTCAATATCCAGTGTAAAGCCTTGCCAGAAGAGTAGAGGCTGTTACTGCAGCAAAGAGGGACAAACTCCTTATTAATACCCCTCATTTTCAGGAGAAACGCTGGTTGAGCAGGTATCTACAAAGGTTTGGACCTGCACTGTGAATGTCTAAGGCTAAATCCTCATTTTAAACTCAAAATTAACAGACAAACTGGTCTCAGGCGAGGATAAAACAGAGCCAATGGCGCCATCTGTCGGTAACTTATATTAACACATGCCTGTACAGGGCCTGCATACACTCACCAAGTTCACCAGCAGGGGGTACTAACTGCTTCAGCCCTGTCCCAGTGGACGCACATGCCTCCTCAGAGCTTATTTACATATATCTGCCTTAAAGGCACAGTGACAAAAACAGAGTGATTAATTCAAAGGGATAAAGAGAGTTTAGAAAATGGTGATATAAAAACTACTAGAACTATACAAGTGGTCATCATAAGTGGACTGTAGAAGACGACAATACAATGCAAGAAAATATAGGATGTAATGCATTTGTTTAGTAATCTACCTTGTCACAGAGCTGCACTATGAGTGTGCTCTGTATTGAGCCACTGAACATAAGCAAACTAAAAACTCAAACACGGCCAATAACATCATTTCATTGGGTATAAAACATGCATAGCCATGAGTCTATCTCAAACACACACTTTTAAACCTAGCACCCTAGAGGTCTCTTTGCAGACTTGGAAGGAGCCCACAGAGCTTACGGTGCCTTTTAGAACAGATCTTTTGTTGTGTTCGTTGCAACACGGACTGGGTTAGATGATGATGCACTCATGAAATTGCACGTGTTAGAAGATCAGATGTGGTAATTCTATGAAGTAAGCAAGACTGAGGCTTATAGGGCGGAAAGAACAGAATGAAACAGGCTTCATGTACTTGAGTATAATTTTGATGGATTTGAACTTGTGTTTTTAATTAATAATGTTACTACTACTTAAGTAAATATGAAGCAAGGAATCTCCGGTCCAGTTTAGGCAGTGTTTCACCGTGACTAGTAGGGCTAGGCCTTTATTTCGGGCCATAAAAGTCAAAACATGGTCAGAAAACAGGAAAAAACATCTTTATGATAACTAATTTCTGCTAGCGCCCCATGGGATTCTAATTATGTCAGCGCTAAGCTAACAGTGATTTAAAGGGGAACTCCACCAATTTTGCAAAATTACTCAATCATTCAACCGTTAGGACAGCAAGGTGCAACTGTGATCTATCGCAGCTCCTCTGATGAATAACGTTACTAAGCTATGAGTTTTGCTGACACCGTGTGATGTAACCCAAACAACACAAAAGGTGTGCAGGGCATAGAAGTACATACAGGTTGTTGTAAGGAAAAATACCCCAAAAATGTATTTTTTCCAAATTTAGCACTATTTTACCATTATCAGCATGACATATAAAACCTTACAAGACACATGTAAGTTCACAGGTCATTTTGGACAGCAGATAAAATGGTGATATTTGTATTGTAGACGGACATTTGGTTCCTAGTGCTATATTGGTGAACAATTCTGACTCAGTAAATTTCTCTCGAAAGGCACATTTCACACTGAACCACTCTGAATGATTTTGTTCACATGTAAATCATTGAATGATTAAGTAATTGTACAAAATCGGTGGAGTTCCCCTTTAAATTAACATTTTTGGCCATTCTAGATTAAACACAGACTTCTGAAACTTGTATCAGACGTTAACATATTGTGGTGTCCCCCTATGGGCCACGCTGCTGTAGGGAGGTTAGGGGAGCGTGGTCGTGCAAAGTGGCTCTCAGGAAACTAGTGGTTAGAAGTGTCTAGTGGTCAGAAGTGTCTACCCTCCTCCTATGTCGAGTTCTCACATGTTACATTTCCGGTGTTTTTGTGTTGGGTTAGTGCTTTTTCAGTACTTTTTCTGCTCTGTTGCAGCTCCACAGCAGAATTAGATTTGTAGGTAAAAATAAAATAATCCTCCTTTGCAGTAAAATAAAGCTCTGCTGATCGTTCAACACAATAAATGGTTTTAAAGCTGGAATTAATACATAACTGCTAATTCACCCTTTAACCCTGAAGGTCGGTGCGCAGACTGTTGGTCACCATAGCAACGACAACAGTCTCGCCTAGCTAGTATCTAACAAAACTGCAAAAAGAGATTTAAGACAAACATTGATAATTTGGAGATTAATGGAATCTTTGGGGCAGCACGGTGGCGCAGTGGGTAGCGCTGTTGCCTCACAGCAAGAATGGCCTGGGTTCGATTCCCAGCTGGGTGACCAGGGTCATTTCTGTGTGGAGTTTGCCTGTTCTCCCTGTGTCTGTGTGGGTTTCCTCTGACAGTCCAAAGCCATGCAGTCAGGCTGATTGGCGGTGCTAAATTGCCCCTAGGTGTGAATGTGTCTGTCTGTCTGCCCTGCGATGGACTGGCGACCTGTCCAGGGTGCTTTCCGCCCAATAACAACTGGGATAGGCTTCAGCACCCCACCGCGACCCAGAAGGATAAGTGGTTTAGATGATGTGTGTGTGTGGACTTTTGCATTTACAATCACTCCAGCTGGTTTTCTGATACGTTTAATCTACAGTGAGAAACTGTCAAACACTAAAAAGTCGCGAGGCTGAAGTCGCTTCTCGTTCGAACAGTCCCGTTCCATCTTAAATGGTGCAGTAGTTACATTCTGGTGCATCGGGCACCGTTTAGGGTAGAACGGGGAAATTTGAAGCAGCTGGTGAATGAGAAGCGACTTCAGCCTCTCAGTTGAGCGCTGAGAGATATTTTACTGCCGGAGATGCGAGAAAAGCGGCTAAAGCAGAGCAGAGTAAGTCTGCGTTTTCGTTTATATTATATTTTTAGCACACACTGGTACATTAGCTCATACTGAGACAGATTTACAGCCAAGATGGAAAAAACGTTACTTCAGTAAAAATGCTAAAAACAAATAAAAACCATAAAATGTTGTGGCTCCCAAGGTGGTTTGATTTTAGTTGAAAGGACAAAATGGTGACCCCTGTTCAACACCAACATTGTATTTACCTTGTAGCAGTTGTACAGTGACTCTTTTAGGGACGCTGTTTTCCATTCCTTAGAACTCACTGAACCCTCTTTGGACTATGGTTTGTATTTGCAACCAGTGACATATCTAGAACTTCCAGAAGGCCTAGGTCTTTTCTCACCAAACAGATCCCACCCACTGTAAATTAAAACCTGATGGTTAATCCACTGTCAGTTCCTAATTATGTTGGTGGTTAATCTGATGTGTTAGGACTTTAATCCAGCTCCAGAGGGCCTAACCAATGGGAGAACTGGCTTAGCTGTATCTACCTACACTCCTTAAAAAGATGGTTCCTCAAGGGTTCTTTAGTACAGAAAATGGTTCTATATAGAACCTTTTTAGAAAACAGTTCAACTTAGCACCAGAACTGGTTCCTCTGATGGTACGAGGTCAAGCTCGTACACACTTAAAAAAGATGGTTGTTTTAGGTTTTTTTAGTAAAGAAAATGGTTTCATATAGAACCATGACCACTCAAAGAACCTCTGCATTATTAAAGGGTTCTTTGCATGGTGAGAGGGTTCTTCAGATTGATGGAGAATGTGTTATATATGGTTCTATTAGAACCTATTTGAAAAGGGTTCTATATAGCACCAAAAAAGGTAGTAATTCACAATAGAAGAGCCCTTTTTGGTGCTATACAGAACCCCCTTCAAAAAGGTTCTATACTGAACCATCTACAGCACATTCTCCATCAATCTGAAGAAGAACCATTTAATGAGGCAAAGAATCCCTGTAATCATGCAAAGGGTCCTTTGAATGTTAATGGTGCTATATAGAACCATTAAGAACCCTTAAAGAACTATCTTTTTTAAGAGTGCAGAAATCACGGATGAAGGAAATTCTGATTGGACAGTTTGCTGTGCGGCGTTTCTTTTGTTTTCAACCAAGAGTTTAAATACAACAAGCGCAACGATTTGATTAAACAAAAAACTGGTTTAAAGTTACAGACATGCATTTTTGTATTTCACAGAAATCATTGGGCCTCCTCTGAAGGCCTAGAAGGTCCTGAGGGTTCCCCACTGATTTCTAGGCCTTTACATTCTTTCTCTTATTGTTTCTTTGGTGTTGAAGTCGACACAATAAAATTTTCTATGCAGATGAAACCATGAACGTTGGCCGATATTGATACTGATCCAATGTTTCATCTTTGAAACACTACTAGGCATAATATGAGCTGTTTTTAACTAAGGCACTTCACTTAAGATGAGCATCTCAAAGTAGTTTATCATACTGAAAGTACTCAGTCACTCTATTACCTACAACATCATATCACTCAGTGTAGTGAGGGCTGTTTCAGACTAGACTTGATACAGGATTAGATTACACACACTTGTTCCCTCTGATGTCTGATGCAGCATTTTCTGCTAATGTTGACCTGATACCAATACACACTGTGAGAAAAAATCTTATACCCTGATTATAAGCATTAACTTTCTGCCTGTAATCTGCAGAAGACAAATAATCCAACAAGCTGACAATGAATCTTTTTTAAGAAACATATAGGGTGCAGATATTTCCTGTGTGAGAAGGGAAGTAAGACAACGTCTGCCTCTGTGGTTGATGCCCATTTATTAAAATGAAGTCATCACCTTCTAGAAATAGAGCTTCTGTCCTGATCTTATAGTTTACACATGACGGCTCCATGTTCTAGCAATGTTTTCAATCTGTTCTGTGCTGATAGAAGCTGGATGTACTAAGAATTTCAACTGCAGTTCTACAGGAAACTCAGGACTGGAGGGACGTCAGCACTCAAGGGGTGTCAGATCTTTTTTTCACTCAGTTTTTTTTTTTGACAGTCATTTTTACTTCTGCTTGAGTCAAGATTTCACTGAAGTGAACAGTTTGACTCCAGTATGAGTTTGAAGCTCGTCTGTCCAATGCCATCCATCTCAAAGCCATCATTAGGTGAGAAGAATCCATTGTTTATTCATTGTTATAAGAAATGTGTTGACATATATTTACAGAAATACATAACTTGCTATCAAATCTTACTGTGAAGTAGTTATTCATTTATTAATTTATTCCTTTTAACAAGAAAGGTTCTAACTTTGACTCATAATAATGGTGGAACCCCTTTTAGCGCTGTATCGAACCATTTTCCCCCAAAGGGTCCTTAAAGAAGCAAAAATTTCAAAATTACTGCATAATTCCATTAATTCAATGTAAACAAAGTCATTCAGAGTGGTTTGATGTGAGATGGTTCTTTGTAGAGAAACCCAGAGACTCAGATGTCTTTACAGTGGTGGTGATGGGAACCAGGGGTCACAATGTCTACAACACAAATTCAGCCATTTTATTTACTATCCGAAACCACCAGTGAACCTTCTGAGTTTTTATAAATAATGTTGATGATTGTAACATAGCGCTAAATCTGAAAAAAAAACCCAGCATGTATTATCTTTTGAGAGGGAGCTTTATATGGTATTAAAGTCTTCAGACATCTGGTTCCCATCACCACCACTGCGAATAATTCTGACTTGGTAAGTCTCTCCAGAATGGAGCATTTTGTATGAAACCACTCTGAATTACTTCAGTTACATCTTAACTATTTGATTATTTAATAATTCTGAAAAAAAAATGGTGGAATTCCCCTTTAAGTAAAGCAATTGACTCTATATAATCACTGGCTTTCCTAAAGAACCCTTGAAGGACCCCTTTTTTTAAAAAAATAGCCCATCATCATTTGTGATCTCTTCATTATTCAGCATTTTTAATTAAAGACTGATAAAGAATGTCTCTGTATTTTTGTACACAGAGTTTTTTGAACAGTATTAAACTAGAATGAAGTGAAAACAGGAGAAATGAATAGGAAGTTAATCTGCATGTTTGCATTTTTGTTTCTGACTTCTGCTTTTTTACCGCAGTGAATGAAATGGAAGTCATGGTGTGGCTGTGTTTCTCTCTTCTGCTCTGTTTTCTTGGTAAATGCCATGGTGAGTCATTTTCACTTTGTTGTGAGTATATTAGCATTTCATTGTCATTCAGGAGGCTGTTTTATATAATATTGGTCTATATTACACTTCTGTCATGAAATTTCAACTACAGTTTGAAATAAAAGACAGAGAAATTAATAAGTCAATATGAACTTGAGAGGAAGTCTTTTCTTGTTTGTCTGTTATTATTAATAAAGAGAGCTGGATTAAAACTAATGGCTAAAATTTTGCAAACTGTTTTCCCCAAACTTACAGTAATTTCTTTTTTGTTTTTAAGGACAAACTCAGTTCATCTACACAGCAATGGATAAAGTAGATTGAGATGTGAAACAAACAAATGGCAAATAAGCACAGAGTCTGACAACCGGATTGACCTGAACTGCTCACTGCGTGACCACATCAGGATTGAGCTTCTCAAGAATTATGATAAACTGGACTTTTGCACAAATAATCATTCACAGTCAGAGCCTGATTGTACTCTAACAGTAAAGAGTGGATTTGTTGCCTGTGTTAAATCTCTGGATCCTGGATTTTTATATCCATTCAAACCGTCTCCCAACGTCATCCATTCATACATAGTTGCTGTTCCGAACCCAAACAGTGAGTAACGTTTCATTCTCTGTATTATTATTGTATCACTACCAATGTTCATGTCACTGTTGAATATATTGTAAATAACACCAGACTATGTAAGTAATCATTCATTTAATCATTTAATCTTTCTCCTTTTAATTTAATTTAATTTCTCCCTTTGTTCATGTCTCACTTACCCTTTGAATATCTCTCAGCAGTTCTGTGTGCTTGTCTGCTCTATTTAGTTTGTTACATGTCAGATGTGTGCACTAACTGAGACAAAGTGTAACACACCACTCTTTTCTCCCTGCATAACAAAACTGCCGACTAGTAACAGCACAGTTTTTCCCATGTTCTTTATCAATATGCATCCTAAATGTATTCTGAATGTTTTCTGAATACATTACTTTTTACGTGTTGTAACGGACTGCATTACTGAACACATTTAGGACAGTGTATTCAGAATTCAGATATCACTACTTTTTCTTGCTAAACTCTGGCAGTAACCAAGACAAAGTAATACACTCTACTCTTTTCTCCCTGCAGTAACATCCACACCTGAGGAAACATCTTCACTGAAAGTAACTAAAGGTGAATCAGTGAGTTTAAACTGTAGTTTCACCTTCACACAAGAATATAATGGGGTGTCCTTTGTTGTTTACTGGATTAAGACTGTTGGACAGAGCAGCACCTGTGTGTATTCTTATGATTTTGCTATGAATGAGGTTGTGCTCGGTCACCACTGCAACATACAGGAAGAACTGCTTAACAGACTCTCAAACCAAACCAAAGAACCGAACAGTCACAACATCAGGATCAGTGAAGTGATGGAGTCGGACAGCGGTCAGTACCTCTGTGCTGTACAAGTGCACCCACATAATAAAAACACTACTAAAGGAAACTGGAAGGTGATACAAAGAGTTACAGTCAGTGTTCACAAAGACAAAAGACCACAGCCAACCATGACCACTGTGACTCAGACAACAACTGAGGACACAACAAAGAAAACAACAAAGAAAACAACTGAGGAAAACATTGGTGAGTTTGTATTGAACTGATTTTATGTGTGTATCATAGGGGAGATATAAATGACCCTCACAGCTAATCTACATTATTTTATTTCTAACTGCTGATGTTTTCACTGTTGTCTCTACACAGATCATGATCGTCTTAAGCCCTTATATGTTACAGTTCCCATAATCCTGTGTCTTCTGCTGATTGTCTTGGTCGTGTTAATAAGAAAGAAGTGCATCACTTCACAAGGTAACCACACTGTGAAGAAATAGCTTGATGAACAAAGTTCTCTGTGTTTTTATCTGACCATTTACTATTAGACATTTGATATTGTGATTATTTAATATATATTTAACATATTTTCTTTCATACAGGATGTCAGACTGTACAGCAAAGGTGAGCTATCACAGTTTATCTTCATTTTATGTAGACATGATTTCCATAATTGCATCAACTGTTACTCATTTCTGTTACACCATGTTTTCCTTTGATTGCTGCAGAGAAGAAGCTCCTAACATGGACTGTAAGTGTGTCAGTGTTTCAGTCGTGTCATCTTCTTCCTCTTTTCCGTGTTCAGTCGTCTCTGTAATGCTTACTGTATAATCTTCACTCATGCTACGTGCAGGTTCTCCACATGCTGTTGGAAATGGTGAGGAGGGGACGTTCTTTGGATCTAAGACGGCTGATCCAGGCCGTGAAGAATCCACACCATCTACCGACTCTTATTCAGTTGTTAGACTGAACAGCTTATATGAATCTGGGGCTTCAGATCACAACAGACATATTTAATACGAAGCTGCTGATCTGTGTGTGTTAAAGGTGCCTCAGTGCCGCAGCTCACATGCTGAAACACTGTAGAGAAGAACGCAGAGTAACAAAGTGGTCAAGCTTGTTAAATAATGCCTTTTGCAAATTTTGATACATCACCAGTCAAAAGCAAAAGTTTGAGCACCCCTGGTCAGATTACATTCATTGTTGAATTCCTAAGTGAAACTAAGTTACCACATCCTCTACAGAGAACACTTCTTGCACTTGACTGCACTTATTTTCACTTCAGTCAACAAAACGTTATTTGACCAGGGGTGCACAAACTCTTACATATAACTATATGTGTATAACTATATGCATTTTTTCATTTCTTTTGTTTTAAAGGAGAGATATTACTGCTTTTTTGAAATGTATTTACAGTTCTCTGTGCTCTTTAATGTCTAAAATAAATAACATCTTAATTAAGCTTTTGTGTGATGTTGAAGTTTGTAACAGACATTGAAGTAGCACATTCTTTACTTTGGATGTTACAGTTTGGATGTTGTATCTTTCAGTAAAGATTTAAACTTAAAGCTGGTCTCTGAATATTATTGGAGGAGCCTGTTAGCTTAGCTGTAAGCCCAACTTGCTCTAATGAGGACAGAATATGGTCCAGTTCACCCACAAAGAGCCTGTTAACATCAGTGAAAAAGAGTCTACTGACTCAGTCACCAGCACAGATTAATGTTTGTGTTATGTCTCTTTACATCATGTTATATATGTTCCTGTCCATCAGAGACGTCTGAATAGAAACTGCAGAGGTGATGGTGAAAGTATGTGCCTTTTCACACAGGCACATGGGCAAGACTTCACATTTCAAATTTATTGAATGGTACATACAATGACAGGTATCATATACATGAACTGGCAAAGAAAAAAACAGTTTTTGTTTACTAGGTCTCGTTATAAGCAGGACTGCTCAAACCAAGGTCTGTGGGCCAAAGTTGATCAGTGAGGATGTTTGATTTGAGCTTCTAGTAAGTTACCCCAACCCCACCCCCTCACCAAATGAGAGAACATACATTTTTATGCTATAGATAACTCACTGAATTTGTATTTTAGTTACAAAATATAAGTAAATGTTATAAAATACAAATTTAAAAACTCAGTGTGATACCAACGTACCTTCTTTATTTGTATATTATTTCGTTTTGTTGTTGTTTTTGGCCCTCTGCCCACCATAAACATTGCACTTTGCCCCCCCAAGACAAAGAGTTTGGGCATCCCTGCTTTAAAACATGATCGCATGCATGCCTTAAAATTTTATTTAGCCAAAATGAAAAAGAAACACTTATTTTAGCCCAGCGTGGCTATTAAGGAAGCAAACTAGTGTTGAAAGCATTTGTGATAGATATTTTTAGGCTGAAAAGCCATTATGACCCACCAGATGGCGCTGCTGCTGAAATAAAGCTATTCATTCAATCCCCACTCATTCAATCCCCACACCACGGTTGACACGCAACCTGCTAAGCATTTCACTTTCTTTCATAGATTAAATCTGGTGAAAATTAATAATTTAAGTTTAATTATTGCTGATTGATATCCAACATTTTCCTACCAACGATTTAGGAGCTGTGTAACAAGTAGTGTAGAGCAAAATTATAGATTTTTCCATTTTTAGAGTTTTATGAATTCATAAAGTACCAGAACAGTAAAAAACATCAGTTCCTATGCTGATAGACGGACAATGAAGTTTCACTGCAGCTCTGTGACTTAGCAGGTTTTGGACCTCACACTTCTGTAGTGTTTTTTTCTATATGTTTTATTTACAGCCTTCTTGATGAAAGATTTTCTCTGTGTTATTTGTAAAATAAATAAAAATTTGTGAAATCTTAGTTCTCACTTCTGCTTTTCATGACCATCACCGAATACCAGCACTGCGAGATTTTAGACCAGAAGACCAGTCTCATCCACAAAGGGCCAGTTTGATTGCAGGTTTTCATTCCAACGAATCAGGAGATCAAATGATCAGTTATCTGACGACGGACAGCAGCTGATTAATCAGGTACAGTCAGGTGCTCCTGCTTGTTTGGAGGGAAAACCTGCAGCTGCTCCGGTTCTTTGTGTCGGCCCTCCGGTCGTCTAAGAATTTTCTCTTCATGCCACAAACTAATGATGACAAAAACAACTCATGTTTAGGTACTGCTGTTTATTACAGTTACCAACAATTACAGGAACACTGCAACATTTCTTTTTTTGCTTTTTTACAAATTCTATCCTTTATTTTTACTGGGCAGAGCTAAACTGCTGTAGGCGGAACAGGCAGATACATGTAAATGTGTTGTTTTTGATATGTGACATCGCTAAAACACTGAATTCAAAACAGATTTTCGAAGACTAGTTTCCATATATGGACTGTGTGGGCTGAGGAGTGAACATTGCTGACATACTACATCAAATGTTTTTTTTAAAAAAGCAGGGAAAATTTAAATTTTCTATGATATGAGCTCTTTAAATCATCATGAATGAAAGCGTAAGGTGTAGGTTTTATTGCAGTTCTGTAGTTCTTGAGTTTTTGATACTGAAATCATACAGCGGTTAGTTTTAATATTATCCCTTCATAATTATATAGCCTACAGCTTTAGGTTAGATCTAGCTTTGTTTCGCTTTAGCCTGAAATATCTCTGTATTGTTTAGAAAGGAAATGTCTAAAAAGAACATTTAAACTGAGGAAATGAGCTCAGTTTTACACTTATTACAGCTAAATATGTGTTATGAATGTGTCACAGCTCTTTCAGTAAGACGAACAGTTACAACATCTCACACTTCTGCTTTTGAGCAAGTAATAGTGCTTCATTTTTCTGTTTTTTGTCTTCAGTAAAAGCCACAGTGAATGATTTTCACATTATTATGTTTGCATTATATATAATATTGTTTGTTGTGACATTTTATAATGTATCTTTGACTAAAGTTTGAACTAAATGACAGTCATTCTGTAGCATTAGATTCACTTTCATCAATAAAATCTATTTTTCTTTCTGTACAATATTTATATTCACTTTTGCTAAGTGTTAGATATCTTTAGCTTTTTAGTTTATTATTTATAAAGTAATGATAATAAAAACAAATGCCAGAATTCACAATCTGTTTTTATTTAGCCTCACAATCATTTCTATTTCTAAGGACAAACTCAGTTCATTTATACAGCAATGGATAAAGTAGAGTTGACATGTGAAACAACCAAATGGCAAATAAGCAAAAAGATTGACAACCGGACTGACCTGAACTGCTCACAGTGTGACCACATCAGGATTGAGCTTGTCGAGAATTATGATAAACTGGACTTTTGCACAAATAAGCATTCACAGTCAGAGTCTGACTGTGAACTGAAAGTAAAGAGTGGATTTGTTGCCTGTGTTAAATCTCTGGATCCTGGATTCCTTTTTCCATTCAAACCGTCTCCTAGTTGCTGTTCCAAACCCACACAGTGAGTAACTTTTCATTCTCTGTATCATCTTATGAAGGTGTAGATGATTTATTGGTTTTGAATAATTAGAATTATTATACCTGCAGTAACATGAGAGAACATCTTCACTGAAAGTAACTGAAGCTGAATCAGTGAGTTTAAACTGTAGTTTCACCTTTACACAAGAATATAATGGGGTGTCCTTTGTTGTTTACTGGATTAAGACTGTTGGAGAGAACAGCACCTGTGTGTATTCTTATCATTTTTCCATTTCTGAGCCGGTTGTGCTCGGTCACCACTGCACTGTGCAAGAAAAACTACTGTACTGTGCCGTACAAGTGCACCCAAATAATAAAAACACAAAGGAAACTGGAAGGTGATACAGAGTTACAGTCAGTGTTCACAAAGACAAAAGACCACAGCCAACATGACCACTGTGACTCAGAAAACCACTGAGGAGACAACTGGTGAGTTTCATCTACATGATGCATGTACTAAAGCTGCTCTCTATGATTTATGTATGTGCAAAATATGTATATGTATAAAATTTTGTATTCTTTTAAGTTTCTAAGTGTAAATAAGTTAACACATTCTCTACAGTGAAGACACTCAAATATGGCATTTTCTGCACATTTAATACACAATTTCTATTTCTAAATAACTCATTGGAAACAAATAAAACAGAAAATCAAATGTGCTATAACTTTTGCACAGGCTGCATTTTAGATTTAGGTTTAGATTTTGATTTTTTATGACCCACCACATGGCGCTGCCACTTAAATAAAGCCACTCATTCAGTTCCCACCAGGTACAGCAGGTGGCGCTGCAACACCATATTTCTCAGTTTAACACGGGGGTGTCCAGTCTCATCCACAAAGGGCCAGTTTGATTGCAGGTTTTCATTCCATCAAATCAGGAGAACAAATGATCAGTTATCTGAAGACGAACAGCAGCTGATTAATCAGGTACAATCAGATACAATCAGATACAATCAGATACAGTCAGGTACAGTTAGACACAGTCAGATACAATCAGGTACAGTCAGATACAATCAGGTACAGTCAGGTACAGTCAGGAACAGTCAGAAACAATCAGGTACAGCCAGATATAATCAGGTACAGTCAGAAACAATCAGGTACAGTCAGATATAATCAAATAAAGTCAGGTACAGCCATATACAATCAGGTACAGTCAGATATAATCAGGTACAATCAGATATAATCAGGTACAATCAGATATAATCAGGTACAGTCAGATACAATCAGGTACAGTCAGAAACAATCAGGTACAGCCAGATATAATCAGGTACAGTCAGATACAATCAGGTACAGTCAGTCAGGTACAGTCAGATACAGTCAGCTGCTCTGGTCCTCTGTGAATAAGATTGGTGGCCCTGGTTTAATGTCTGAGCTCATCATCTACTAATGATTTTCCTTCATGTCACAGATTAATGATGACAAAAACATCTGATTCATGTTTAGATACACTCTTGCAAAAGACGGTTGTTCAAGGGTTCTTCGATAAAGAAAATGGTTTTGTATAAAACCATGAACACTCAAAGAACCCTTTGCATAATTAAAGGGTTCTTTGCATCGTAAATGGGTTCTTTAGATTGATGGAGAATGTGCTGCAGATCGTTCTATCTAGAACCTTTATGAAAAGGGTTTACAGACATTATGGAAAAAATCCAAAAGGGAAAATACAAAAAGACAAAGTCAGAAGAAGTCAGAACCGGAACAGAATACAAACACACTGGAAGTAACGGTTCTGGTCATTTTACACTGTATTAATGTTTATTAGTGTGTATTTTAATAATAAATAGTGTTTTATGAGTATAATCACACTCACTGCTGAGATAAATGGTGTTAAATAATGTGTACACATACAAACTCAGTCACACACAGGTTTATATAATATAACTAAGAATATAAACGTCACTTTTATCTGCACTGTTTTACAGTATTTCTAATCACTGATACTGTGATGGTCGTCTGTTTACAGGTGTTCACCCTCTCATGCCTCTGTTTACTTCATGGCCCATATGTTTGTGTCTTCTGCTTTCTGTTTGGATCACATTTGCACTCATGAGGAAAAAGGCCAGCACTGCACAAGGTGACCCTCCAGTACGAATCTCTATGACCTCTATCTGACCCTCTAATAAAGAGCTCTATGATTAATGAAACTAATAATCTAGTTATATGTATTTATTTTCTGATGATCAGTGAAACTAATAATACTAATAATGTATATGTTTCTCTACAGGATCTCAGGCTGTGCCGTTACAAAGGTAGACTGTGACAATAAAGTTGAAGTTTAGGTCTTAAATTAACTTGATCACTTTCATTATTGTGGAATTGTTCCTCATTTCTTTTCCTGTCTCTGCTGCAGCCTCCAAAACGGAGAAGCAGCTCCTGACATTGATGGTGAGATTTGATGTGTTTCCTTTTTCTTCATAAATTCTAAATCTTTCTAAAAGCTCTCATTGGGTGATGTGTGATGTGTACAGGTACTCCATAAGCTGTGGGACGTGGTGAGGAGGGGAACTAGGATCCATGAGGAATTCTACCATGAAGATCCAAACCATGAAGAATCCACAACATCTGTTGATCTTTATGCAGCTTCCAGGCTGAATGATGGATCTGGAGCATCAGAGGACACCAAACATATTCATGATAAAGATTATCTGTTGTTTTTAAAGGGATGAATTGTAAAAATAGTATACATAGATATTAAATAGTCTCCCCCTTTTGATGAGAAATCATCGAGAAATGTTTAGGAATGTTCACTGACACGTTTATCCATTTCATTTAAATCTTCATTCTAATGTGAATTATTAAAATATATGTGTTTTCAGAATACGTGTGCCAGAACATTAATTTAAAACTGCTGTATGTGATCTTGCTTTGTTTTTCTTTGTGCAGCATTAAATCAAGTATCTCTAAGTTTTCACAAATCGAATGCTGAGGAATTTATACTCCTGCTGTATGAGGCACTTTCCATGAATAAGTTCACTTTATGGCCCATGACCTTTTTAAAAACACTGAAGTGACTGTTGTTGTCATTTCTGTGAAAAGTGAAGGGATCTGTACTTTAATATCCAATCAAAATGATTAAAAATAGCATTTAAATGATCACAAAAACACATAAAATGTCTGCGTTCACCTTTAATATGGTGATTTTGGGCTGTCCCACCTCACTGACACTGAGCTTCTCTTTGAAATATATTCATTAAAATCATCCAGTAACAAAACGACAATGTTATTTGATTTATTTCCAAACAATTCATGTCAAAAGGATTATTGTTCCCTATTAATTTATTTAACTTAACAGAAAAAGTCATTGTTTTTTCAATTTGCTGTTTTCTCAATTCTGATTTCTCAATTTACACACAAAAAACTGACATCAGTCAGTTGCATCAGTATTAGGCGTTAGCATGCAACATGTGCACCCTGTCAGGCTAACCACAAATCTCCAACCTTCTTACCCATTTTTCAACCTTCAGTTATTTTAATTGATGAAAATGAAATAAAAATGGCTTGAAACAAATATTTACATGAGAACATTATAATTGAAACAGCTTTACCTTTTGCTGTACAGTGTATATTTAATGTTTTTTTACTGTATTAATATTATCTTAAAGGGGGATATGATCTCTGTATTCAACCTGTAATCCAAGTTTCAATCCTGTTATTCAGTGATTTCTGGTGAAAATAGTCTAAAAACTTTTAATTTAGTAGGTTATGTTACCAGAAGTGTCAATTAGTAATGAGAGTCATTAGTTAAAATTACTAAAACTGAAAAAATGCACTATTTCTTTCATTAAGAGTGAAAAACTCTAAAGGCTTTAAAGTAATATATACAAGAAATATAGAAAACACAAGACATTTCAGAAAACAACGGCTCATATAGTCTCTGATTTGACAGTCTGAGACGGGAAAATTATATTTTCTGAAGGTTAAGTACTTATTTTGGTTAATAGTTCATCAAAAAATATCAAAGAAAAAAATACATTTTTAAAGAGTTTTGAGGCCTAAAATGAACACTAGTCATAAGCCATTTCACTCTGTGGGTGAACATAAGACAGGGCTGGATAAAACAGACTGCAGCACAGAGACTCCATTTTAGAGAAAAAAAATCAAATATGTCATAAAACAATGAACATTTTTCACTTTTCAAGATGTTTTTATTCAGTAAAAGTATCAAAACATACCTCCTATTTAGCTTTAAGAGAGGGTAAAACTTTTTATTCGGACTATAACTGGTATTTTGTGAGGTCAGTGAGTGTCCTGCCTACAGAGCTTCTTAAAGCAGCTTTTCATTCTTGTCCTGTGCCCTTTAGAAAGCTATGGGAGGTCATTACATCTCACTAAAGAAGAACAAACACAAACAAATTATAAATAATGGATAATCAAAATACAAACAACCCACAAAATTACACTTTGTTACGTGAAAAAAAAGTTTTAATTTATTTGTGTAGGCCACACCTCCGTCTGTGTCTCAGCCCCGCCCTCTCCATACTCTCCATTCTGGAGTGATTTGTTCACTCGAATCAATCCACTGAGCCGATTCTTTCCAACTCCCTGTTTCAATGAATCGAATGTTGGATTCAACAATTCAGTGATTCACAAGTTATGAAATAATTTTGGTGGTTAATCTGACACGTTAGGACTCCAGAAGGCCTGACCAATGGGAGAGCATGCTTAGCTGTATTTACCCACCTTAATTTCTTTGATGTTAAAGACGGCACAATAACACTGAAACCTTGAACGCGGCCGATGTTGATACTGATCCAGTGTTTTATCTTTAAACACTGCTAAGCTTTAATATGAGCTCTTTTCAATTAAAGAACTCATCTCAACGCAGACTATCATCCTGAAAGTACTCAGTCACTCTACAACCTACAACATCACATCACACAGTGTAGTGAGTGCTGTTTCAGACTAGACTTGGTCCAGGATTAGATTACACTCATTCCTTGTTTCCTTTGATGTCCCATCCAGCATTTCTGCTGATATCAGCCTGATACCAATACATTGTGAAACAAAAATCTTATACCCTGATTATAAGCTTGGCTATATTTTAATATTAATCACGCATTTAGCTTCAATCAACCAACATTAACTTTCTGCCTGTAATCTGCAGAAGACATATAACCCAACAAGCTGACAATGAAACTTTTTTAAGAAACATATAGGGTGTAGATGTTTCTTGTGTAAGTGAGAGGGGAAATCAGACAGTGTCTGCCTCTGTGGTTGATGCCCATTCATATGATATGAAGTCATTACCTTCTTCTAGAAATAGGGCTTCTGTCCTGATCCTAGTTCACCCTTCAGGGGTACAGGCTCTGACATTGTTTTAATCTATCTGATGCTGATGGATGCTGGATGCTCCAGAAGTTCCACTGCAGTTCTACAGGAAACTCAGTACTGGAGGGACGTCAGCACTCGAGGGGTTGTTGAACCTTTTTCACTCATTAGGTGAGAAGAACTCCAACATTTATTCATTGTTATAAGAAATGTGTTGACATATATTTACAGAAATACATAACTTGCTATCAAATCTTACTGTGAAGTAGTTATTCATTTATTAATTTAATCCTTTTAACAAGAAAGGTTCTAACTTTGACTCATAATAATTGTGGAACCCCTTTTAGTGCTGCATTGAACCATTTTCCCCCAAAGCGTCCTTAAAGAAGCATATACAAGAGGTTCTCCATCATAGAGGAGGAGAATTTCACTGATGCTTTAAAATTACTGCATAATTCCATTAATTCAATGTAAACAAAGTCATTCAGAGTGGTTTGATGTAAAATGGTTCATTTTAGAGAAACTTAGAGACAGTGGTGGTGATGGGAACCAGGGGTCACAATGTCTACAACATAAATTTAGCTATTTTATTTACTATCCAAAACCACCAGTGAACCTACATGTGTCTTCTGAGTGTTTATATGTAATGTTGATGATGGTAACATAGTGCTAAATCTGAAAAGAATAAGTAACCATCATGAATTATCTATTGTGAGGGAGCTTTATGCGGTATACTCTTCAAACGTCTGGTTCCCATCACTACCACTGTGAATAATACTGACTTGGTCAGTTTTTCTAGAATGGAGCATTTTGAATGAAACCACTCCGAATGGCTTTGGTGGAATTCCCCTTTAAGTAATCAACTGGCTCTATGTAACCACTGGCTTTCCCAAAGAAGGACCTTCCCTTGAAGGACTTCTGTTTTTTTACCACAGTGAATGAAATGGAAGTCATGGTGTGGCTGTGTTTCACTCTGCTGCTCTGTTCTCTTGGTCAATGCTACGGTGAGTAATTTTCACTTTCTTGTGTGTTTATTATGATTTTATTGTCATATAAGAGGTTGTTATATATAATATTGTTCTATATTACATTCTGTCATTCAGTTTTTGCTACAGTTTGAAATCACAGACATTAATTTCTATTGCAGAGAAAGTCTTGTTTTTCTGTCTGTCCAGTGTTTTTGTTCACTTTCACTGTTATTTTGAAAAATGAACTCTGAGTCATTGACACTTTGGCTGTTATTGTTAATGCAGTGAGCTGGATTAAAACTACATTCGCAAGCTGTTTCCTCAAACTTACAGTAATTTCTTTTTCATTTCTAAGGGCAAACTCAGTTCATTTATACAGAAAAAGATGAAGTAGAGTTGAGATGTAAAACGAACAAATGGCAAATAAGTACAGAGTCTGACAACCGGATTGACCTGAACTGCTCAGTAAAATGTGACCATAATAAAATTGTTGACCTTGAGTGCGATGATGATGATGATGATGATAATGATGACTCACAGCCAAAGCGTGTTTGTAAACTGAAAGTAAAGAGTGGATTTGTTGCCTGTGTTAAATCTCTGGAGCCTGGATTCTTATATCCATTCAAACCGTCTCCCAACATCATCCATTCATACATAGTTGCTGTTCCAAATAAAGACAGTGAGTAACGTTTTATTGTCTCTTTCATTTATATCACTGATATATTGTAATATATTGTACTATGTACATAGCCATTTATTTGGGGTCCTTTATTTTAATTTCATTTCATTTCTTCCATAGTTAATGTCCAATTTTCTCTTGAATATTTGTCAGCAGTCTTGCTCACTCCTCTGCTCTACTTCAGATATTACAGTTTCAGATGTTATACATGTGTGCTGTACCTGAGACAAAGTGTAGCATAACACTTCTTCTCCCTGCAGTAACATCTACACCTGAGAAAACATCTTCACTGAAAGTAACTGAAGGTGAATCAGTGAGTTTAAACTGTAGTTTCACCTTCAAACAAGAATATAATGGGGTGCCATTTGTTGTTTACTGGATTAAGACTGTTGGACAGAGCAGCACCTGTGTGTATTCTTATGATTATTCCCTGTATGAGCCGGTCGTGCTCGGTCACCACTGCAACGTGCAAGAAGAACTGCTTAACAGACTCTCAAACCAAACCAAAGAACGGAACAGTCACAACATCAGGATCAGTGAAGTGATGGAGTCAGACAGCGGTCAGTACCTCTGTGCTGTACAAGTGCACCCAAATAATAAAAACACTGCTAAAGGAAACTGGACAGTGATACAAAGAGTTACAGTCAGTGTTCACAAAGACAAAAGACCACAGCCAACCATGACCACTGTGACTCAGACAACAACTGAGGAGACAACAAAGAGAACAACAAAGAAAACAACTCAGAAAACAACAAAGACAACAAAGAAAACAACTGAGGAAAACATTGGTGAGTTTGTATTGAACTGATTTTATGTGTGTATCATAGGGGGGATATAAATGACCCTCACAGCTAATCTACATTATTTTATTTCTAACTGCTGATGTTTTCACTGTTGTCTCTACACAGATGATGATCGTCTTAAGGCTATGTATATTGCAGTTCCCATAATCCTGTGTCTTCTGCTGATTGTCGTTGTTGTGTTTATAAGAAAGAAGTGCATCACTTCACAAGGTAACCACACTGTGAAGAAATAGCTCGACAAACTAAGTTCTCTGTGTTTTTATCTGATCATTTACTATCAGACATTTGATGTTGTCCTCATTTCATATATTATATATTTCTCATTCATACAGGATCTCAGACTGTACAACAAAGGTGAGCTGTCACAGTTATATTTATCTTCATTTTATGTAGACATGATTTCCATTATTTCATCAACTGTTACTCATTTCTGTTACACCATGTTTTCCTCTGATTGCTGCAGAGAAGAAGCTCCTAACCTGGACTGTAAGTGTGTCAGTGTTTCAGTCGTGTCATCTTCTTCCTCTTTTCCGTGTTCAGTCGTCTCTGTAATGCTTACTGTATAATCTTCACTCATGCTACGTGCAGGTTCTCCATATGCTGTTGGAAATGGTGAGGAGGGGACTTTCTTTGGATCTAAGACGGCTGATCCAGGCCGTGAAGAATCCACACCATCTATTGACCCTTATTCAGTCGTTAGACTGAACAGCTTATATGAATCTGGGGCTTCAGATCACAACAGACATATTTAATACAAAGCTGCTGATCTGTGTGTGTTAAAGGCGCCTCAGTGCAGCAGCTCACATGCTGAAACACTGTAGAGAAGGATGCACAGTACTGAAGTGGTCAAGCTTGTACAGAAGTGTGTTCTCTGTAGAGGGTGTGTTCACTTATTCTCACTTAAAAATTAACACAACATGTCATTTGACCAGGGGCACAAAACTCTTGCATACAACTTATATGTGTATCACTATATGCATTTTTAAAATCTTTTTCGCTTTAAAGGAGACTTTTTTTTTTTCAAATTTAACACAGTATTTACAAATTTAATCATTCTTTGTGCTCTTTAATGTCTAAATCAAATGACACATTAATTTAGACTTTATCATGTTAAAGTTTGTAACAGACATTTAAGTAACCAGAAGACTGGTTGGTCATGTTTGTCACATTTCACATGGGCAAGACTTCACTTTTCACAGTTTTCAAATGCTACATACAATGGCAAGTAAAATATATGGGAACTGGCAAAAAAACAGTTTTGTTTACTAGTTCTTGTGTTAAGCACAGGGTCAGCAGAACCACGGTGGAGAGCGTTTGACCCACCAGTTTGCAAAGGACTGGGTGATGCCTCACTGCTTGAGTATTTGACCCACCAGTTTGCAAAGGACTGGGCGATGCCTCACTACTTGAGTATTTGACCCACCAGTTTGCAAAGGACTGGGCGATGCCTCACCACTTGAGTTCAGGACGCGACATAAAAACCCCCGCTTTCCCTAAACTGCATGAATGGCTGACCAGCAGGAACCAACAGAGTAAAACTCTGTTTCAGAATCTCAGTTTCAGCTGGGAGGCACTTTCAGACCCACCCTGGATGGTGCAGACCTGTCTTTAGTTTGGTTTTAATATGCAACTTTACCTGAATTCAGGAAGCACTAAAAAGCTGAACCACACTAATTCAGAGAGAATTCAACACCTGAGCATGTTTTTGTGGTACTGTCTGCACAATCTACAGCTTTAACATTTTACTCTTTACAGACACTCATATCCTTCCTGCACTGAAAGGCAAGCAATAAAATAATAATATGTGTTTGATTATCAATTGTAGAGCATATTTTTGGCCAAGCATCAGTGATCAGTTAAATTTAAATTGGCATTCACACAGATGATAAGCGTCTCCATTTTCTGTTTCTCTGTTTTCATGGTGGTGAATGTGAGAGTAACAGAGCACTTCCCCACAAAACTTCTGATCAATAAATAAACACCCACCAGTGTAATTTAATGCACTTTAGCCCTTACAGTCCACCATCCGAACCAAACGAAAGAGATACAATATCACAAAAACACTTTAGAAAACGAACAAGTTTGAAAACTGCCTGATGTCCTTCAAGAATGTTAGCTAACAAATACTGCTATCTGAGGCGGCAGCTACTGAAGCAGCATCAAAACTAACACTGACACTGCTCATGATCAGGTTCAATGGAGGGTAGAGGAGCCTAAATCAGTACTCAAGTAAAAGTATTGATAATGCATAAAATAATTACACAAGTAAACTTCCCCAAAACAACATGAGTAGAAATACAAAAGTAGCAGGTTGAAAATCTATTTTAAGAACTGAGTTCTGCAGTGAAACTTCTTAATACATGCGACATTTATCAGCAGAGGATAAAGATAGTACCACTGAAATATTGCCACTGTCAAAACATATTGAAATGAAACACAAAAAAGAATTAAAAACTAAATATGAATGGCTAAAATGTAACTGAGTGAAAAGATTTCTTTACTCATTAATATACTTTAGCAGAAGTAAATGTACTCAAAAATACAACAAAAAATAAAGTACTAAGTACTAAAAACAAAACTCAGGAGAGCAAAAATCCATCAATATTGTAGTTACATACATGTACTTGAGTAAATGTAAGTAGTTACTTTTTTAGCAATATGTTTTGCCCCACCACTTCTGGAGGTTTGGTGCCACCCCTGATGATAACTGTCTGAAAAAAATAGAAGAACGTTAACGAAGGAGGGGTGAAAAGACTTACGGTGTAAAGTATTATGTGATCAGTAATATGATTGTGTGTGTCATAGATATGGTGTGTATGATCTACGTCCTCTGAGTTTGAGGCTTTCGTTCGTAAATATATCAGTATGTCTTCATTACTGCCCACACATACAACACACACACAAATAACTGCTTTATTGCTGTGATTTGCTGCAGAAAACAAGCTACACACTTACAAACAAGGTTCTTTAAGGGTTATTGAAGAAAATGGGTCCATTAACCTTGAACACTCAAAGAACCCTTTGCATGATTAAAGGATTAATTCCATTGTGAAGTGGTTCTTCAGACTGATGGAGAATGTGTTGTTTATGGTTCTATATAAAACATTTTTGAAAAGGGTTCTATATAGCACCGGCAAGGTTACAAGCTTAATCTCGTAACAAGAGAAGAACCTTTTTGGTGCTATATAGAACCTGAAATGAATTTTAAAAATGGTCAAAACTTGATATGCTACATAATCATGAATACTGACTTTTCCAATAATGTCTTAATTACATGTTTCTTATTATAAAAATTAAATTTTAATATATCTTGGAGATCTTTTGACCAAATAACTCATGTGATGAACAGAGGTGCGTGGAGGAGCTTGAAACGCTAAAGGAGCTTTCACACATTAAAGTAAGGAAATTATTACTGCACTAAAACAGCTGAAAAATAAAACATATAGAAAAAAACACCACAGAAGTGTGAGGTCCAAAACCTGCTACGTCACAGAGCTGCAGTGAAACTTCATTGTCCGTCTATCAGCATAGGAACTGACGTTTGTTTCCTGTTCTGGTCCTTTATGAATTCATAAAACTCTAAAAATGGAAAAATGTATATTTTTGCTCTACATTACTTGTTACACAGCTCCTAAATTGCTGATTGGACAATGTTGGAAATCAATCAGCAATAATTAAACTTAAATTATTAGTTTTTGCCAGATTTAATCTATGAAAGAAACTGAAATGCTTAGTAGGTTGCATGTCAACAGTGTTGTGGCAGCGCCACCTGCTGTACTGGGTAGGGTAGGCACCATCTGATGGGTCATAATGGCTGGTCAGCCTAAACATATGAATCACAAATGCTTTCAACACTACTGTTCTTCCTTAATAGCCACTTTGGGCTAAAATAAGTGTTTCTTTTTCATTTTGGCTAAATAAACTTGTAAGGCATGGATGCTATCATGTTTTAAAGCAGGGATGCCCAAACCTTTTGTCTTGGTGGAGCGAAGTACAATATTTGAAATGTGAAATACAATTTGAAATGTGAAATCTTGTCCATGTGAAATGTGACAAACACACCCAACTAGCCTTCATACTTTCAACATCACTTCTGCAGTTTCCATTCAGACGTCTCTGATGGACAGGAACGTATAAAACAGTGAGGTGACATAACACAAACATTGAACTGTGCGGTCAGTAGACTGTAGCCATTAACAGGCTCTTTGTGGGTGAATTGGACCATATTCTGTCCTCACTAGAGCAAGCTGGGCTTATAGCTAAGCTAATAGGCTCCTCCCATAATTTTCAGAGACCGGCTTTAAGTTTAAATCTTTAAGATACAACATCCAACCTGTAACATCCAAAGTAAAGAATGTGTTACTTCAATGTCTGTTACAAACATCAACATCAAAGGCAGACTTAAGGTGTCATTTGAATTAGGCATTAAAGAGCACAGGGAACTGTATTAAATAAAAAAGGAGTAATACGTCTCCTTTAAAGTGAAAAAGATTTTTAAAATGCATATAGTGATACACATATAAGTTGTATGCAAGAGTTTTGTGCCCCTGGTCAAGTGGCATGTTTTGTTGATTTTTGAAGTGAGTATAAGTGAACACACCCTCTACAGAGAACATGCTTCTTCACATTTTAATGCACAATTATTTGTATATTTGCTGAATTGAACATTTTGGACCTTTGTGTAAAAGTTATGCCACAATTTTTTATTTTATGTTTTTCACTCCAATATGTTAAACTCAGCAAAGGCAATAATAATTTGCTAATAAAAATTAGCGAAAAACAAAAATGCCATATTAAAGTGTTCCCTGTAGAGGATGTGGTCACTTAGTTTTCACTTAGAAAACCAAAGAAACATGTAATTTGACCAGGGGTGCTCTAAACTTTTGCATATGACTGGTGATCTATCAGAATCTGCGAAAAGCATTATTTAACAAGCTTGTCCACTCCGTTACTCTGCGTTCTTCTCTACAGTGTTTCAGCATGTGAGCTGCGGCACTGAGGCGCCTTTAACACACACAGATCAGCAGCTTTGGATTAAATATGTCTGCTGTGATCTGAAGCCCCAGATTCATATAAGCTGTTCAGTCTAACGACTGAATAAGGGTCAATAGATGGTGTGGATTCTTCACGGCCTGGATCAGCCGTCTTAGATCCAAAGAAAGTCCCCTCCTCACCATTTCCAACAGCATATGGAGAACCTGCACGTAGCATGAGTGAAGATTATACAGTAAGCATTACAGAGACGACTGAACACGGAAAAGAAGAAGAAGATGACACGACTGAAACACTGACACACTTACAGTCCATGTTAGGAGCTTCTTCTCTGCAGCAGTCAGAGGAAAACATGGTGTAACAGAAATGAGTAACAGTTGATGCAATTATGGAAATCATGTTTACATAAAATGAAGATAAATATAACTGTGATAGCTCACCTTTGTTGAACAGTGTGACATCCTGTATGAATGAAAATATATAATATATGAAATGATCACAATATCAAATGTCTAATAGTAAATTGCTACATAAAAACATAGAGAAATTCATTTTTCAAGCTATTTCTTCACAGTGTGGTTACCTTGTGAAGTGATGCACTTCTTTCTTATAAACATGACCAAGACAATCATCAGAAGACACAGGATTATGGGAACTGCAACATATAAGGGCTTAAGACGATCATCATCTGTGTAGAGACAACAGTAAAAACATCAGCAGTTAGAAATAAAATAAGTATGTAATAATAATAAGTTACCCTTATTAGTCCCACAATGGGGAAAACCACCTCTGCATTTAACCCATCTATGCAGTGAAACACCCACATACACACTAGTGAACGCACACACTAGGAGCAGTGAGAACACTTGCCCAGAGCAGTGGGCAGCCCTATCCACATTATCTAAATAATGCAGATCAGAATCAGAATCAGAATCAAGCTTTATTGGCCAGGTATGCTACGCATACAAGGAATTTGGTTTTGGTTACAGGAGCTCACAGTGCACAGTACCAGACAGACATTTACATGTAGTGAATAAAATAAAATAAATATAAAATATAACAAAATAAAATAAAGTAAAATAAACCATGCTTTCCTACCATCACTCACTCAGACACACACAGTCATTCCTGTAAACCTTACAATGTGCAAAGTATGGGTCTGAAGTTAAAGTGCTGAGTGCAGCAGCAGGTTGAACTTCCTCAGCTGACGCAGGAAGCAGATTAACAGTGATGGTCATTTATATTTTCCCCAGTCATACATACTTATAATCATTTCCATGCAAACTCACCAGTTATCTCCTCAGT